CCCCTCGCCTTTTGACTTATTTCTAATTTGAATTTTTCTGGCTTTAATTTCAAGTCACTGATTCTTGTTCTGCCTTTCACTGCTAGATTAAAGTACACTTTAGTACCCAGTACTTTTCCCCTGTGAAGGCACTTATATACCATAATCAACTCACCAATCGATAAACTAAACAGATTGAACTCTTAAATCTCTCACTGTCAGGCATTTTCTCCAGTCCGTGAATCATTTTTGTGGCTCTTCTCTGCAGCCTCTGCAGTTTTTCAACCTCCTTGGTAAAATGTGGACACCTGGACGCAGTATTCTTGTACAAGTCTCACCAATGCTATATATAGCACTTTGGTTTCATTAAATGTCTCCTCATTCCTATATTATGAGAATGGGTCAATAAACATGCCCTTTCTAGTTGTATGAGCCTTCTTTTAAGAAAAGAACATTTTGATTTGCAGGGGGCATTTTAAGAGGTTCAGCAGACGATGCATGTTGACGGGCCCTGGAAGGGAAAGTTGATGGCCGAAGAGTGAGAGGCAGAAAAAGAAGCTCTTGGAGGACAACGCGGTATCCCAGGTGGCTCAAAAGGACTATTCATCCACAAAGAGATTAAGAGAGGACCGTACAGAATGGGCTACCACGGTTGCAAACCTCTAGTAATGGAGAAGCCATATAAGAAGAAGATGAGCTTTTCAACATCTTATGGCACTGTATGTGCTTTGCTTGAGATTGCAGGAAATTTTTCATTTTGTGTTTCCCTTGACTACAATGTATCAAAAGACTTTTTGATTTTGAAGGAGCAACTTGTTTGAAAGAAGATTAATTCTGCTTAACCTAGGTTTTCAGGTTTTATTTGAGAGAGATTAATTTGAACTACTTATGTCCACTGATGAGTTAGTTCTACATGAACTGTATTAATGGGGTAAAATGGTGTAGACAGCTTCATATAGACCCCTGCTCAATGAGCCAAAACAAACCAACACGTTGTTAGGCTGCATAAAGGATGGGGCAGACAATAATGCTGAAAATATTATAATGCCATTATACATATCAAGAGGGAACATTATGTACAGTTCTGGTCACCTCCGTCTGCAAAAAGCTACAGCAGAAAGAGAAGGGTTCCGGAACGGTTGCTCAAACTAATGAGCATCAATGAGAGACTTTCAAAAGAGGAAATATCAAAAAGACTGGGACATTTGAGTTTAGAGAGGAGATGACTGTGAAGGGACGTGATAGTAGAATACAAAATAATGAATGGTATAA